CCCCCCCCCTCCGTGCTTGGGGCCCGGACCTTAAAACTGGTACCCAGGGCCCGAGATGGGATGTGGCGAAACTGCATGAAGGCTATTTCAATTGTAATCTTCCGTCGCATTTCTAAGGCGCAATGATACAACTATTTGAACTCTCCGGAATGTGTGAGGTATCACGCCGCATTTGAAGGCATATTCAAATCAGCCAAGTTCCGATACCCGGATTATCGTTTTGCATAATTCATATTCTTTTGTTATATTCCGTGCCGCTTGTTTATTTTTAATCCTCGTAGAAAAACCAACCATTTGTAAATACAATTATAGCTGAAGCGCACTTCAGCTATGCATTCACCACTGCAAAAATTTCAGAGGAATACGACAAGCCCAGCGTGCATGGAGGCTATCTCCATTTAAATCTTCCGTCCCACACTTACGGCGCAATGATACAACTATTTGAACTCTCCGGAATGCGTGAGGTATCACGTCGCATTTGAAGGCGTTTTCAAATCAGCTAAGTTCCGTTATCGGAATAATCGTTTTGCATTGTTCATATTGTTTTGTTTTCATGTCTAACCACTTGTTTAATTATAATCCTCCTATAAAAACCACTCATTTTCTGAATACAATTCTAGCTGAAGCGCACTTAAGCGCATTCATGACTGCAAAAATTTCAAAGGAAATCGACAAGCCCAGCGTGCATGAAGGCAGGCCCGCCACAAGGGGGGGATACCGGTTTTTTTTTAACTCGGTCGCACAAACCGAACAATTCGGTTGAACAGACCGAATAATTCCGTTTTTAATTTTTAAGGATTCATCAATTATTTTTGTCGAAACTGCACGCAATTGATCCTTTCATTTGCGTTTTTCTTCCACTTGTTACTTCCATTATAGATGCGCAGTTTTTCAAAAGAACTCCTCAGTTATTTTCTGTACATTCCTTACTGTTTTTATTTTAGCCCCAGGGCTGCAGCTATATTTTGTCAAACAAGCTGTAAAAGTTCCAAGCAATTATTGGCAAACCTATTGTGCGCTTAGAGAGTATCACATGAAAATGAAGGCGCTCCAAGCCAAAATTGGGTTTGGAATGAAGGTTGCAATTTTATTAAACTGTACTAATTTAGGGCTAAGACCCAGGCTCAATAAAAAATCAGACTTACTGCGTAGGGAAGAAGCACACAGCGCTTCTATTTCCACGAAATCACAAAAATAAAAATTAGATACCCTCAGCCGAAACAGTTTTTTTTTTTCTTTTTGGAGGGGATACGTAAGTTTAATGATAATGGAAGTTTTCGCAAGAGGAAGAATTTTCCCAATTTGGTGGATAAAAGAAAGGAGTGAGAAGATGACGAGATTACAAAGGGGGGGGGGATCGAAGGAGGGTGAAAAACTAAGACTTGTTTATGTCGTTAAGAAATTTTAATGTTATTAAGTACTGTTACTTCAAGTAGGTACTAAATACAACTTTAGAAAATTATGGTAACTAAATTTGACACATCCAATGCATTATTTTACCTAAATAATTGTTAAAACTAATAGTCTACTACTACATATGACACTCATGAGACCATACGGAAGGGTATAGCTAGTAAAACGATTAGTGTATATCTAAAGAATAAAAAAATTTGAGCACACGATTTCCATACTCGCAAAATTTATGGCGCTTGTACCTTCAATAATATGTGTCTTATTTATAAACCTCTTTTTACTGAAATAAAATACATTAGTTTTCACAACCGTACTTATCAACCTCATGTTTGAGGGGAAGGAATAAATTTTACCGGTTGGATGGAACAAGAGAAATTTGATCACACGGAAATCAGAGGAGGCTGAACAAATGGACATCCATGTAGAATGAGAGATGACCATTCACGTTAAATATTCAACGGAAATGTATCACTCCTTGTTATTTGTGCATACTTAGAATAACATCAGGTTTAACTACTTCACTCCAAAGGACTAAGAATATTAGTTCATGATAAGGTAAGTGTACCGACAATGCACCAAACTTTGTATCTTGCTTGCAATGTTTCAAAATCTCTCTCATATTCCGTTTTTTGTACGAAGAACGAATCAAAATGACTCCTTCAAATTTTCACGGACAATTCACCATATAGAGTAGACGAATCATACAAGTTGTTAGGGAGGAATGTTGAATGGTTTTTCAATGAAAAAACGAAGTATGACAGAAAGTTTGCAATGCCATAAAAATAGATACGTGATTTTAAGGATTTCGCCGTTGACATGTTTCCGGCTTGAAATATTACATTGAAATTTTATCATGCTTAAAAATACAATGTCCTCGTCGAAAAATGCAAAAGGGAATCGGTTTAAAGCCGAAAGGCAAGTGCTTGACTCATTCATTAATTTATGAGCAGAATTATAGGTAGGTAAACGGATGAAATTGGGCAACATTGATGAGTACACACGTTAATAACTCGTCCTCTGTACGTTAATCTCAATTGAAGGATACAAAAAACCGGTAGCACGTACCAGGTTCGAGGACATTAAATCAGAGCTGGAATGTTTTTTTGAAAGTGGTATATTATGAGATTATACATTTTCGCAGACTTTTGTAAAAATTCTGATTAACATAAATCTGAATTTTTATTTAAAAAGTAATCAATAAACTTTCATCATGAACATAAATCTGAAATTTTTTTTTAAAATAAATTCATGAATTTTCATCGGACTTTGGACGGGGAAGACAAAGTTCATCCATTCTCTGCGCGATTTCTATTCATCTTGTTTATGTGACTCGATAGAACTTACGCTAAAGGAAAATCGATTTTCTTTTGAAGCACTCATATTTTACTGAAAGGACGGGATAAATACTGTACAGGCTGACATGAATTAATAACAAAGTAACTATATAATCAGAAAATAAGAGAAAAAAGAAGACGATTTGAGTCAAAAAATATAGCCTCTGCAGGTGTTGACTTAGAATTACGGATGTAAATTTTGTGAGGCATCAACAATATTATTCTTTCCTGTATCTATGACAGAGCGTTCACTTCGAGCGTTGTTCAAAGTATTGAACTACTGGACTAAAGTACTTTGTTAACACAATTCTAGTGTTTCTCTTTTAACTAAAAAAAATGTGTCCGTGGTACACTGGTACAGTTACGAGTACATCTAAAGTGGACTCACAAAAATTCCAAGGGCAAGCTCATAAAATAATTTATGCTTCCTTTTCCCGCAAAATACAAATTGATAGCTATACCTCAAAAGTCCACAAGTAAGAGAGAGCGCAGACAGTAACAAATTAAATTATGAAATATGGTTGAGTCATACCAGTTAAATAATAGAGAATAACAAAGCATGATAGAAACAGATAAAAAATAAAACATTAAATTGATGAACTATAAAAATATTCTTTTTATGTGCACATTTTTCCTTGAAATGATTCTCATCTAATGACTAGCTTTACACAAAACACATGAATAAATAATACTTAACCCATGTAATTGGAGAGTATAGGAAGAAATTATAATGGCACCGTGACATAAAGATCACTGCATATCAGCAGACTTGAAAGGAGCCTTTTCAGGATACCTGCCTTTAAGACCCGAATTTTTACCACCGCCCCTCTTTCTTTCATTGCGTCTCTATAATGCGACAATGTTTATAAATCGAGTATAGGGATCGGCATAAATTATAAATTTTAGATACGGTTTTGTCTTGTGAGTTTGTGAGTTGTCTTGTGAGTCTCTTGAACTCGTTGGAAACAATTTGAAGATACTCAAATTTATATATCACATCACTCGTTGGCACAATGATCACGTTCTCCGACGTAAACATAAGTAGGTAAGATAAAAAATATAGAAAATTGAGAGAAATGAAGAAGTTAGAACGCATACGTTGAAACCTATGATGATGCCTTTTAATATTTGGCTCAAAAAAAGAGCAACATATTTCTTATTTTACTTTAATTTTTCTTTTTTAAAAAAATGCAAAAAAAACAAAAGACCAACAGAAACTTAACAAAGCTCCGCCTGTATTTGATAAATTGTAATTCAGCTTCAATGTTTGGACTTACTTTTTAATTTTCGGTCCTGATTTGCCGAATTGTTAAATTGGACTAGAAAATGATCATTTCGGACTTTCTTTAATTTTCACAAAGAAAAGCTCGCTTTGAAATTTCCATCTTAATTGCAAGTTCTTTCTGATCTAGAAAATTGAAGCCGTTGAAAGCATTTTCAGTAACTCGGTTCCTCTGCTCTCCAGAATGCAGAACGGGCCAAATCAATTCAGAAAGGAACCAAATACACAATTTAATTCCTCTCAGATTTCAAATGGAAAAATCATTTTAATTTTTATTACTTTTTTCCTCTCTCTTTAAAGAAAGGAACCAATTGGTTACCGATGCTCATGGTGTTCCTCGAGCAACTATCGAGCAGCCCCTTTGTTTTGCCAAATAACTCGGCTCCTTCCTCTTGAACTGTTTCCAGTTCTTCGTTCTTTCCGAATTCCAGTCGGCTGTACAACAGCTCTGGCTGCCGATCAGATCGACCCGGCCGGAAAAAATACGCTACTTCAATGGAAAAGCCTGTATCAAACACTTAAACCTAGCGCTGAAAACATGCGCATAAAATCCTAACCAATTTTGACGGGCGACGGAACGGCCCCGCCAACTTAACCTAGGACTCTATTCAGGAAGTACGGGTAGAAGGAATGGTGTTGCGGGTGGATGAGGAGCCGACCCCGGTTGGGTCTCTCGGGGACGTCGTCAGTGGACTCGAGGAATCCGCGGTGGTGTCTCTCCGTCGTTGGCGCCACCATCGACGGCTCTGTTGACGTTGCCTCCAGCTTGAGCTGGTCCTTCACGACCAGCTTCGTCGTCATCTCCATGCTGTTGAGAACCTCTGCGTCCGACGAGAACACCACCGTCGTTTTCGGATCAACCTCGGGCACGGAAGAAGTGGTGATGGTGTTCACCTTTTGGGTCGTCTCCAACTTGGCCGTGCTCGCTGCTACGTTCGTGGCTCCCTCGGTCTCCGTGCGCATGCTCGTGGTTTCAACGTGGCTCTTGGTCTGCGCCAGCTTGAGTTTGTTCTTGAGCTTCTTTCCGTGTTCCTCCGGAGTGGTGTAAGTCTCGATGCTACCCGAGGTGAGCACCTGCTCCGGCTCGTTGCTGTTCTTGCTGTAGAGCAAGACAGGAGGTAGATTCTTGCAGATGTACTTGCTCACGGTCGTCTGCACGGAGTTCTCGTGTCGCGGCGGAGGGGTCGTCGCGTCGAAGCTGTTCAACTTGGAGCCCAGAATCGTCTTCTTGACTTTCTTCGAGGTTTTCTCGGCGAAGATCTCGTGCGACTCCTCTTTCAGGTGGGACGGCGTGGAAACGACGGGGGTTTTGCTTTCGACCTCCTGGACGGAAGGGAGAGGGTTCCAGGGTGCGAGCTTCAGCTCTTTCGGTGGGAGGGTTGCCGAGATGTGAGCTAAAATCGCCGCTTTGCGCCGCTCGATCTCGTCTGGGTGGGGGCCCTTCGTCGTGGACGGTTTTGGTGTTGCTGCCTTTGAGGTTGTGTTGGCGGCCTCTTGTGTGGTGTTGTTGGCGTTTTTGACGGGTGCTTTCAGGTTCCGCTGATCTTCGATGCTCTCCTCGGAGGCGATGCTGCTCCTTTGGTCATCTCCTGTGGGCCAGTACGAGCCCCCTTTAAGGACGGTGAAGGACTCTGTCACTTTTTGTACTGAGTTGGAGTTGGGCGAGTCCATCTCGACGGACTTGTTTTCCATCTTGAGTTGATCTTCGCTCAAGTCGAGACTCGGTGAGACTTCTTGAGCGCGGAGTTTGATTGGTTCCTCGGCGATGGACATCTCTTGCGGCGCCTCCGAGCTTTCGTGGCCGTCCTCCGTTGAGTCCAAGGAGCCGGAGAAGTCTATCGCTTTCGTTCGCGTCGCCTCACTTGGCTTCTCGCTCTTGGTGGTTTCTGAAAGAAGAGAGGAGATTTAAATCATAAACACAAAGTAAATCACACAAACATATTTTACATCTTTATGTAGTTTAAGCTAGGCATGAAGATGGGATAGGCTTTCGACGTATGGAGGTATTTTATGAAAATGAGCTTTGCATAATCTCATGGGTAAAGTCAGGGCCGGATTCACTTACTTGCCGCCCATGGGCCGCCTGTATTCTGCCGCCCCCTTCTCATTCGTTTTGAAACATCATTAAAAACCATCAAGTGAACGTGCCGAAGGGGGAGAGGTAGAGGGGTGCATAAGACGCGTTTACTCGTGTTTGATACAGTTTTTGCTAAAGCCCGTCAACACTATTAGCGAAAGTTCACAGAACTTGGCGCGAAAGTTAAGTTCCGTAAACCTATCTCTGTGTGGACCAGGCCTTCCATTCTTAAGAAATGAACGAAAAAATTATGGAAAAACAAAACATAAATGTGGTTTAATAATTTTAACTTCCGCCGCCGCGCCGCGCTGACCGCCCTGTGTTTAGCGCAATGCGTGAAGTATTCAAGCAGTCTTGAAGGCGCTGTGCGTTTCACGCTGACCGCAGCGACTGCACTATCTTTGACGCAATGCGTGAAGTATTCATGCAGTCTTGTAGGCGCTAATATGTGTAACATGCCGACCGCCGCGCCGCGGGTTTCTCCTTTTCACCTCAAGTTCTTGTCATCATTGCTCTCTGCGCCGCGCCGTTTAAGATCAAATTCCGTGTTCGGTTTCTCTCTTAGTCTTAACTCGACTAATTAAAGGTGCTGTCTATTATATCACAGAAAGACGACAAAATTAGATATACCCTTTCAGGAAATGAGAAATTTTGTCACCTATTCTCGTTTGGAATTTTTTTTTCTGAATCCGATTTTTCTTTACAGCAACATTTTAAAAAATTGCAAAATTTGCCGCCCCCTAAATTTGCCGCCATGGGCCGCGGCCTATGTGGCCACCCCCTAAATCCGACCCTGGGTAAAGCTGGCAAGGATTCATTATTTTATTTATGTAATAAAACTCAAGTTTAACAATCATCAAGTGGGAAAATGTTGCTCTTTCCTCTGTAATGTTCTTCCGTCCCTAAAAATTACTCGGCACTACAGTGAAACTTGGATCATCCGAACTCCTTTTTCGAATCATATTCTTCACTTTCACTCGGAACAATACAGTTCAAAAACTGGCGGCTTCCCTTGCGCAGAAGAAAGTCACGAATTCTTTTAAGTAGGTAAATGTCAAACAACCTTTTGTATAAGCTTTTTAATTTTTTTGTTTAAGTTTTGTTAATTTGTATTCTACTTTTGTATACTGAAGTATAAAATTACAGTAGCTTGCATTAATTTTATCGGATTACCATTCATTTTACGAAAAAAAAGTAACTGACTCCGGATTATCCGAAATTTCAGTTATCCGGACTGGCCGACCGCCATATGGTTTGGGTAATCTGAGTTTTATTGTACTTTAAAAGTTGGTGTTCCTCTAAAATCAATTATAGCAGAAGTCTCACCTCTATTTACGGTAGGTGCGCCACTAGTCGCTGACATTGTCACCGATTTTTGATGTGCTAATGTCGCCGCTGTCGTTGCTGATGCTGTTGTCGTCGTCGTCGCTGTTGTTGTTGTCATTACAGTTGCTGCTGCATCGGTGGACGATTTTGTATTGGTTTGGGCCAATTCGGTTGCTTTCACCGTGACGTCAGCTCTGGTCGTTGGTTTTGGTGTGGCCGCTTTCGTCGAAGGAGAAAGGGTCGACACTGAGAGGATAGTTGCTGCTAGGACAGTAGTTGCTTCTGAAGGTTGCACTGTGTCTCTTCTGTGTCGTGTTTGCTCGCTCTCGGCAGTGATGGCATTCTCGTCGATGGGGCTCTCCGTGACGCTCTCGCAAGACAGCTCTTTCATCACTGCTTCTCGACTCTGAGTAACAAAAATAAGTTGATATCACAAATCCGTAATTGCTATATAAGAGATTCCTTGTTTTTTAAGCATGTTTTTAGTTTTTTGGTGCATCAATCAAGGTGGTAACCAAATACATTGTAATACCAAAACTTCAGCTGGATAAGCTGTCAATGAAGGGACATGCTTGCTTGTTGTTCTACATCGAGCTACAAGTAAAAAAAAAAATCGATAAATGCAGTATATTCAATCACATGAATTACATTTTGCAATAAGAAACCACAATCTCTGACTCTTCCATGAATGCACCTTTCTACATAGGGAAACCGGATTTATATGTTGTTTCTACAATGAGCCAGAATAATAAATAGTGGTTCCTTATTGCAAAATGTGGTCCACATGATGCTACAACTACATGCAAGCAATTGCCAAAGAAAAGATGACAAAAGAAACGTCTGGTGTTTTGTAAGTTTCTTTTGTCATCTTTTTTTTTGGCAACTGCTTGCTCGTAGTCGTGGCATCATGGGATTGAATATACTACTTTTGTCGTTTTTTTGGAGTGTAGCTCAATGTAGCATTGTTTTTTCTTATGTGGTAACCAAATTAGCACGATATCCCACAATCCTCAGAGAACGTCCCCAGGTCCCCTAACGTGACTTAGAGTTAGTAACAATGAGCAAAGCTCCTAGCTTCCCATAACATGTAGATGAGTTTGTTCCACTAAGCTGCATTGAATAAACATAAGCAAGTGGTAATTTAAGATACATTGTCATGCTAGTCTAGATACCAGAAAAAACAGCACCTTAAATATTATGGGCCCTTATTCCGCGAGTCGCAAACGAGCCAATTGCGTCCTTCAGTTTGAAGGCGCTTTTAACTGGGGCGCTATCACCTCGCTTCGCGGTGCAGCCGGCGCGTTATTTAGTAAGTAGGATATGCAGTTCAGAATGGACGAGGTATGTAGGTCTTCAAATCAGAAGTTTTATGATAACACGGCCAATACGGTATGATAGCACGGTGAATAACATAGTTATATACCGTGATACCGCCAAATATCTCGACTTATATTATATTTATTTCTGTATTAAAGGATAATCGTCAAATCTTCGCTCTAATGACATTTTCGAAGTATAAACGTTACGTTACGCCTCGTTTACGTCACGTTACGTTACGTTACGCTTGAGTTACTCACGTCACGGGTCCGGCGAGTGGCACTTCATGATATTCTTGAAGTACGGTATCTCACTGTTTGGCAGTGAATATTCTTGAAATTGCATCTCTGATGCCCTTGCCCATTTCCGACGGATAATTTTCTGACAGCCTCCCGGATGCTTAAGGTTACTGCATTTTGGTAGCAGTGGCGCATATCAGGCATAAAACTAAAAATGAACGGGGCACAGGACCTACACTTAGCGTACAAAGGCGCGAAGCAACTATTCAACCACCGGAGTGTGGCACGGTATCACTCGAAATTGAAGGCGACCTTAACGCACCAACTCACCGGGTCAATTCCTGCAACGGCTGAAATCGCTGGATTTGAGGAATAACGATGAAAATGAACGCAACATATACTCAGTATAGATAAACGCGATGCAACAGACTATTCGACCACTACAGCGTGACACAGTATAGTTCGAAATTGAAGGTGAATTTTACGCACGAACTTAGTACTTTAGTCTGGGCAATTAGATCAGACCGAATAAAAAATTTCATCAGTCAGTCTGCGGACTGGACAGTCTGACTTGATTGATTTAAATTTTTTCCCCCTTTAATTAATGTAAAAAATAAATAAATTTGAGTTACTTCAGATAAAGATTAACGCTCTTCATCACTCGCACAATCGTTCTTGACAGTGCGCAATGAAAAGCGACCCCTTCCGCTGCGCTCCTGATTTGCATCAGCGTGTTTTGGCCCATCCAAATGAAAGGGCTGTACCTATCTATTAAAATGAGGAGAAAGAGAGGAAAATAGAATGCTTACCCTGTGGCCTTGGCATATGACGCGACGGCTCCCATCCAGTCCGCAATCGGAGATAAGCTCAACAGCGCTCTGCTCCGGCAAATAGGTGACTGTCAGCGAGGGTAGTGCCGTTGGCAAGCATCCATCTCGTTGCGCCCAGTCTGGCACTGAAAACAAATGTAAATCCAAAATAAATTCTATTTCACGAATACTAAAGTTTGACCAAATCTGTACAATGGATCCTTTATGTTCGAAAATAGTTTTAAAAAATCAGATAAAAAAGAGAAAAAAAGTTTCAACAACATTTGGACTAAGTTATAAACAGAAAGGAACCAAGCCACATCAGCTATTGCCAAGTCTAACAGGGAGATTTCATTTTTTACAAGAGAACGTCTGCGCAGATTTCTTTGAAAATTTCAAGGAATTTGCTTTGTATTATGCAGAAAATTGAATTTGAAAATGAATTTGCACAAAAATCCGCACAACCGTTTTCATGTAAAAAATTAAATGCCCAATTTTTGGACATAGCTGATGTGGTTTGGTTCCTTTCTGTTTAACGCGGTCCATTTAGGTTCTCTTGCGTCGCTAAAAAATTACGGTTGAAATATGCCTGTGTTTAATATTGCCTCATTTTACATAACCTGTAGAACCATATCATTTAATGATGCAACTGCAGAATGTATGCCTCCAGAGACAATTTTTACATAGGCTTGAAATTTGGGAGAGAAACAAACAAAAATTTGTGATAAATGAATGATTTTGACTAGAGTTCTTGTTTTGCGTTGAAAGCAGGTAGAAAATTGTTTCTAATAGCAAACATCACGAAGCATATGGATTTTACTGATGCAATGTTGTCGAGAAAAAACATCCAGAAATTCGAACGAGGTATCATTGACGGATCCAAGGGAGATGGGGGGGGGGGGATTATGCGGTACGCCCACCCCCGTTCAAAAAAAAGTAAAAAGGAATAATCTTATTTTTGATAATTATTCATGATGGAATTGACCCAAACTGCGAGTTTGAAGCTTTAACATATTGACAATTTTCTGGAAAAAGCCCCCTGAGCCCCCTTTCGCCCCCGTCTAAAGTGCCTGGATCCGCCTATGCGAGGTTCGGTGCAGAGGAATTTGCAGGCTCACTAAATATTTAGCGTAGAATTTATATTTGGACGTAAACATGACCTGCAGGACAGCGGAAGGGAAAATATGTTGGAAGGATAGTTACGAGTCGTCGCTCGATTTACTTTAACTTGTACCAACTGAACGGTGGATGCTATCTCCAGTGACGGTGGTATTTTCATTAAAATCCACCAAACGAAAAGAAGCGAGGTTCAAAGATGATAAATAAAATCCTGACCGCCGCGCCGCTCCGTTATGGCCCTCCACCTCGCCTGTACCACCCTCATCCCTCGCGGTCAAAACCCCGGCGCTCCCCCAACTCCCGTCCTTTCTCCCTTTCGACCCATCCGCGTGTTTCGATCACCATTTTTCAAATACCGCCGCGGCCGCGCCGAGCCCGCGAAACCCCGTGAGATGACAACGGGAATTTATGCTCGCCGAGCTAATTTCCTCTGTCAATTATACGAAAATATGGGCGGTTGCAACGAACGGGGCCTCGACCGCGAGCGGTAAATTGCGAAAACTTTCCAGTGCGAGGAGGACTGAAAAAAACGTATATCCTGTGCGGCTTGGATTGCTTCGGTCCGTTGAGACTCAACGTTTGCTTTGATGCTTGAAAAATTGCTGCGGTTCAGAAAATGAGTTTCGATGCTCATCATTTAGGATTGAGTTAGTTTTGGCCAAACAGTGAGGAAATATAAAATAAAGAAAAGGATGGTATCATATTCACTCTAACACGTGTCTACGAGTCCGGAACTTTCGGAAAGTTCGGAATTAGTATTGATTTTTCGAGGGCGGTCCGGAAGTACTGAAAAATTGCGGAAATTCCGCAAGAAGGTCCGGAATCTTTGTCAGGTTTGTCGAATTTGAGCGAGGAATTCAAATGTTTGAAATTTTTCGAATTTCGTCAATTGGAGTACTGATTTTTGACCAGCCTGTTTTAGTAGACACCCTGACTAAACATTAATTGAGAATCACTATTTTAGACATGTTTACGGGCGTGTTTTCACTTCATGAAACGAAGAATTCGTCTCCGATCGGACTGAAATCGAGCCTGTCCCCTTGGTAATGAGCCGCTGAGTCCGATTTTCTGGTCGAAAAAGCTCGACGAGTCCGCTGGTTCGTGCGATCGGGAAAAAGCGCGAGTTCCCGCACTTTTGCAACAAGGTAAAAACTACCCAATTTTAACCATTTTTTCGCACTCAATTTTATTTCTTTCTGAAAAATGTCTATTTATAGCAGAACATATTTAACTCACTCGTCTTTAACCCGTCACCAAATGATTACTAATTGTGACAATCTAAATCTGTGGATTTTGTGTTCTTCAGTGTGTTTGCAGCTTTCAGGAAAGATCAAGGAAATCAAATTTGAACGCGGAGTAGGCTAGTTATCACCAAAATCCGGTTTCTTATCAAACATACCCCTTACGCTATAGCCAATGGATGCCCCTACGAAAGCTAGACCTAGTTGGTTGCGGCGCCTTGATGCAACATTTCGTGTCTCACGAATGTGCGTGTTGCCTATTCAAGCATTGAAGGCGCTCCCACTTTTCTCATTCCTTCAGAGCCACCCGGGACCTGTCAGTTGTTAGCACCCGCAGTGTCGTCAGCTTGTGAAAATTATCGCAAATTTATAGTTGGGCACGAAATTGGCAACTGTGTTGAGAACGTGCAAACACGTCTTCGGATGCTCTCGCCTCCGTTTCTGTTCCAGTGGCGGGCGCCCATAAACTTTGTTCCCTCTCGAAAGTTTGCAACTTCGACTCGGAACAAAACGCACAAGTTATAGCATCGATTCAAATCCAATTTCTGCTCGGAGGAAACGAATAAATTTGACGCTAATAACTCACGAACCGTCTTCTATCTACTTCATTTGTGTCTGTTGAGTCTTCAACCGTAACAATATGCTTCTCTAATGAATAACTAAAGTCTGGGAGCGCCCAATCGTTAACAAATGCTCCCAATTTTAGACAGATTGCCTTGCCATTTACAGAACCGAGTAACAACTTGTATTCATACGGTATTTGAGAAACGTAACATGCTGAGCTGAAAAAGTATATTTGAGGGGCTTCGAGGAGAANGAATCACTATTTTAGACATGTTTACGGGCGTGTTTTCACTTCATGAAACGAAGAATTCGTCTCCGATCGGACTGAAATCGAGCCTGTCCCCTTGGAAATGAGCCGCTGAGTCCGATTTTCTGGTCGAAAAAGCTCGACGAGTCCGCTGGTTCGTGCGATCGGGAAAAAGCGCGAGTTCCCGCACTTTTGCAACAAGGTAAAAACTACCCAATCTTAACCATTTTTTCGCACTCAATTTTATTTCTTTCTGAAAAATGTCTATTCATAGCAGAACATATTTAACTCACTCGTCTTTAACCCGTCACCAAATGATTACTAATTGTGATAATTTAAATCTGTGAATTTTGTGTTCTTCAGTGTGTTTGCAGCTTTCAAGAAAGATCAAGGAAATCAAATTTGAACGCAGAGTAGGCTAGTTATCACCAAAATCCGGTTTCTTATCAAACATACCTCTTACGCTATAGCCAATGGATGCCCCTACGAAAGCTAGACCTAGTTGATTGCGGCGCCTTGATGCAACAATTCGTGTCTCACGAATGTGCGTGTTGCCTATTCAAGCATTGAAGGCGCTACCACTTTTCTCATTCCCTCAGAGCCACCCGGGACTTGTCAGTTGTTAGCACCCGAAGTGTCGTCAGCTTGTGAAAATTATCGCAAATTTATAGTTGGGCACGAAATTGGCAACTGTGTTGAGAACGTGCAAACACGTCTTCGGATGCTCTCGCCTCCGTTTCTGTTCCAGTGGCGGGCGCCCATAAACTTTGTTCCCTCTCGAAAGTTTGCAACTTCGACTCGGAACAAAACGCACAAGTTATAGCATCGATTCAAATCCAATTTCTGCTCGGAGGAAACGAATAAATTTGACGCTAATAACTCACGAACCGTCTTCTATCTACTTCATTTGTGTCTGTTGAGTCTTCAACCGTAACAATATGCTTCTCTAATGAATAACTAAAGTCTGGGAGCGCCCAATCGTTAACAAATGCTCCCAATTTTAGACAGATTGCCTTGCCATTTACAGAACCGAGTAACAACTTGTATTCATACGGTATTTGAGAAACGTAACATGCTGAGCTGAAAAAGTATATTTGAGGGGCTTCGAGGAGAAGGCGCATACGGGCAGTTTTTGAAAAAAAATGAGATATTAATGATTTCAACTAAATCTAAGTTTTAAAAAAATTCTATGAAAAGTCACCGGTAAAATCCAATTTTTAAGCATCAAAATGTTAGTTTGAACTTTCTTTCCGCCATTTGGCCTCATATAATTTAGAAACTCTAAACACGTTTTTCTCGAAACAGCAAAAACTGCACGTAGGCGCCTTGCCCTCTAAGCCCCTCATTTCTATTAGTTTCAAAAACTATGAACTCCGTGATCATTATTTTACGCATTGATCAGTGGTGGATCTGAAGGCTCGGGATTAGAGGAGGACACAGTGGTTTGACCTCCACAGTTGTGGAATTTTAAAGATTTTGACGTGCCACTTTCCGTGGAGCGAAAACGTTTTCAATGACAACAATGCGCATAATGGGCATGTTTTTTGCTGGAAAGGAACGAATCGCTTCATGGTAAGGTGTATTTTTTTTTGCTAATAAACAATAGGTCAAAATTTCATTTGGATTTGCAGGGAATTGGAATTTCGAGAAACCCTCAAAAGGAAACGACTCCGAAAACGGTCGTTACTGAGTGAGACCTTCCGTCTTCTTTATCCACCTCTTTGAGCTAATCAGCCGTTTAAAATATTGGCCTTCCTTCACTGTCAACGCAAATCCCTTTGACGCTGGATCCTTTTTGGCCGCCGTCAACCTTTCAAGTTGAAGTCTTTCAAGTCTGACGAAAAAGGCGGTCGTAAATATTTATTCAAGGAGAAGCGACGTGGAAATGTGAGTGAGTGAGAACTGCCGTGTAAAGAGGAAAGTGTGAATGACCTATAGTTTAGAAAAGAAACCTAAACGTGGGACAGAAGTGGCAGTTTTATTAAGGGGAGCGGCTCGAATTTACTTCACGATTTTGCTCACAAAACCTGGCCCGAGCCTTGGAGTCGCATTATGGCTCTATGTTGGCAGTTCTAAAGAGAAATCTGCGAATTTCTCGCGCAAGGAAACTCAACTGCACCCGTGCTCATAAGAAATGAGCGAAATTGGATCGCTTTAGGCAGAAAGGAACCAAGCCACATCAGCTATTGCCAAATTTAACCGGGGAATTTAATTTTTTTAAGAGAACGTTTGTGCGGATTATTTTGAAAATGTTAAGGCATTTGCTTTGTATCATGCAGACGATTCATTGAAATTTGCACACGAATCCGCACAACCGTTTTAATGTAAAAAATTGAATGGACCACTAGATAAGGTACGAATTTTAGCATTCTGATACCTGTTTCTTAACCGAAATTTTACGTAAAACACGATGCACACAACGAAAATTACCGAAATTAACTCCTGACGAAGATATTTAATGATTCTTGATGCGTCAATTCAAACCACCCGCTCATGAAAACTCAATGCTCTACGTGATTCATATCGCGCGCTAAACGTTTATCATGACAGTCTCTGCTATATAAACATCTGGCAACCTCAATCTTGACGCTTTGGCTCAGTTATAGCAAATTGCTAATAGTTTGAATAACACATGGTGGGAAATGTGCATTGCTCGATTGAGAAGCTTGCTGAGACCGTTATAGTGGGCGATTTGACTCACGTAGAGCTTTGAGTTTCTTGTGAGCGGGCAGTTCAAATTCCTTGTAACCAATGTGAAATAAGAACGTTAATATCTTCATTAGGAGTTGGTTTCAGTGATTTTCGTTGTGTGGATCGTTTTCTACGTGAAATTCTGGTTAAGAAACATGTATCAGATCGCTTAAATTCGTACCTTGTCTAGTGGTCCATTGCCGAATTAAATTTGAATATAGCTGATGTGGCTCGGTTCCCTTCTGTTTAACGCGATTCAATCGCCATTTTTTCTCACATTTGCGATTCCATCGCCGTTTTTTAGACAAAGAAACGTGAGTCCACTCCAAGTTTGCAAAACCGATTAAAAAAAGTTCAATTTCTTACACCGATAAGAACGTAAAATTTTTATAAAAAAATTTGATAATTATGCTCGTATTTAGAGGAAACATGACTGAAATTCTCAGAGAGAATCGCTTAACGGTTTTCTAGTGAAACAAAAGTTGCTACACGCATCAAAATTCAAAATTACCCCCCTCCAAACATCCATCCTTCAAGCTCTGATGATCCAAAAGTAGCTATCGGAATTTCAAAGCGCTTTAAACAAGTAAATCTTTTAAGGTGAATTCCTGTTTTTCGACGTAAATAGCCGCCAGCCGTCTAGTTGCTGATCGTCGTAATCAATTAACTTATTCATGTAGAACGAACACGAGGCATCAAGTTCTCGCAGTAATTACAATATTTTTGAATGAAATCGTTTAAAAAAAAAAATAGAATAAAAGAAGTCCAAATGATTGAATTTCTGTTTCAAATTGGCAACTTTGCCCGGTCCTGTAAATAATGCCCCGTGCGATGCGCCGCGCCGCGTCCCGTGCTTCTTTATTTCCCAGCGATTTCCCGGCGAAATCGTCGGAAGTGCCCCTCGTCCTCGTCGCTCGCTCTTCAAATCGGATCAAAAATGTATGGAATATCCCGCGGAGCAAAGACAGACTTACCTAAATACTGTTTCAATCAGGATGCCACGATACGGATTCTCTATTGAGGGATTTGTATGATGACGTCACTTTCGATGTATCTCACGGCGTAAACCCGAGCCCGGACTAATACCTCAGCTTGATTCCGAGAGCACTCCTTATGCCTTCCGTATTTCTCTTTACGTCTCGCAGCATTTGAGCTGTCACTTTCATTTTTAAACGGATATAGCGGCGAGAAAACCAGTTATACTTAGACCGCGCTCAGCGAAAAGGAACTAAGCCACATCAGCTATTGCTAAATTTAACGTGGCGATTTTATTTTTTTTTTTCAAGAGAACGTTTGTGCGGATCGGTGGCCTGGCGTGCTTTGCGATTAATCGATCTCCATTCAAACCCATGGAAAAGGATCAATAAACAAGGTGTCCGCAACGAACGCCTTAATAATCGATACTTTTCCACAGCTTGAAATGGAGAAATTTTGATAATTGATCATTCACGCCTTGCCACTGGTGTGGATTCCTTTGAAATTTTTTTTTAAGGAATTCGCTTGGTACTTTGCAGAAAATCGACTGAAATTCGCGCAAAAATCCGCACGATCCTTTTCATGAAAAAAATTAAGTTGCCCAATTAAATTTAGCAAAAGCTGACGTGGCTTGATTCCTTTCTGTATAACGTGGTCCACTTGGGGCCGTTCCTAAACTATGACCCTCAAAGAGAAGGAAGGACCGGAGGAGAGCGTTATGTAATCTTGTTTTACGTTATGTTAAAGGACCTACGCTACAAAAGCTTTATAGGGAGAAAGGGAAGACAAAAACGCCCGAAAAGTGCGTTAAACGTAATTTAAGGACGGCCCCTTATATTTGGCGTTATGGAAAAGATATTATTCGTTTAGTTAGTCCTGTAGAAAGCTGGGCCTGGGAAAATAGTTCTTTTCCCATCCCCTCACGCGAATCAATTGAATAAGCTTTTCATGTTGGTATGGGGACGGATTAAGGTTTCTCTATAATAGGGTATTAAAACGCACTTGCTGGAACGGGAGTGAAACACTAGGATGGGCGGAATATCGATCCGCTGATACTTGAATTAAACCGATAAAACACGGACCAAATCGCTGGAAGCAACTATTACTGCTCCTGAACCGCTCACGTAACCTGTATATTGAAAGCGAACTGGTCCAAAGAATTGATCATTAAGGTGTTCGTTGCAAACTCCATCCTTATCAATCTTTTTCCATAATTTAAATGGCGCAGATCAATCGCTATATCGCAAAGCACGCCCCGCCAATGCATATTTCGTGCTTCTTACATTGGTAAATCATCATTATCTCTGAATTATTCATTTCCAAAGTTAGACAGCTTGATTATATATGAGGTCGGCAAAAATTAACCTTGTTATGATACTATTTTGAGGGATCCCTTTAACCTCCCTTGATCACAGAGTAAACCAAGAAAGGTCTAGTAGTCTAGTAGAGTAATCATCGTGCAAGTGATGGTAATTACCTTGTATTTCGCATATGAAGGACGCCACCTCTGGTCCACCGCAGTTGAATCCATGCCACCTGAAGTCAGCCGCCGGGTCGCTTGCTACGCACACTGTTGACTCGGACTGTGTTATGGGCTCATGCCAGTGCTCTTGATTTGTTAACGGCTTGAAGTCTCTACGCACACACACAAACAAATACAAACATGAGTTTATTCTCTATGTACTTTCTTTACGACTATTTTACGCATAAATCGTCCAACATTATTGTTTCACCAACACACGTAATCCCCGATGAACAAACTATGTTTACATTATGTACGCCTAAATACTTTTTACACTTTAATCTGATAAAAAGAGAGCTTAACTTCGGCTCAGAAGAAGAAACTTTGCCTCGAATTTCGTAAATGCGGGCTTTAGATTTTTACGGTTTCGCAAATTACGGGCCATAATTAGGCCATAATTACGGGCCAAACGTTTCGAGTGAGGGAGCCGTAGTCGTTGCTCCGGCCGCTATACCCGGAGTCATTGAAGCTGTGGCTTTTAGATCCGCAACTAGCGACCTGCGGGCTGATTATTGAATCGATAGACAAAACTATAGACAAAGAGGACATGAGGAGTATGGAGCGATCCGATTGGTTGAAATGGGTGGTTCCTATAGACTAAGGGAGATAATAATAGACTGACGATAGGGTCTTTCGTGGGTTGCCGTTAGTTAGTCTATAATCTAGCTTCTTTGTCTATTGCAACCACCTGCTTCTACCAATAGAATCCCTTCATGTCCCTTTAGTCATCTTTGTCTATAGCTTTGTCTATCAATTTCAACCATCAACCCGCAGATTGGGTGGTAAAGAATACATTTGAACACTCAAAGTCAAAGTTTTCTTTTTTCAATGGGTAATATTTGCACAACAAATTAAAGTAATTTCATGATGATACATAATTTTACAGAGGAGCTTTATCTTTCTGATCAAACGGACAACGGAGCTTCTATTTTAACCCATGGGTGCTCAAGTCAGGTCAAATGAATCCGAGAATTGCCTAAAACACGTATGATGCTGGTACATGCGAGCGTTGATAGAGGTCTACAAATACAAAGGTCTACAAATGTATCTTAAAATAAGAATTAGACGTCAAATTGGAAAAGGAGAAAAAATTCGGATGTCAACACAACTGTAGATAGAAGAGACGCAATTGGGCTTCATTTTAAGCGCTCAGCCGATAGGCAGCGCTTTTTGATTTTGACTTGCCTCTGAGTACTAGTATACTAGTGCTAATGCGTTTAAATGGCGCACCAGCTCATCGATGTGTAGGCTTTTTTTTTGGGGGGGGGGGTCCATTTTTAAAATAAATAAAGCTGTGAAAACTGTATTTTATGCTTTTAACGTAATGCGCAGGTAGTTTCGATCGTTTGTCTATAAGAAAATTTCTTAGCGGTTGAGTAATTCTTATCGAAATTGATCGTTGAACTCAAATGAAGCCTAAAAAAAACGCGCCTGATGAGCTCAACGGTGAGCTCATTTTCGGGAAACAAAAATACGCGCTTACGGTGTCCTTGGTAACCTTTGTTTGCTATTAGCTGATGTTTTATTTCCATTTCGCAGCCAAGTCGACGGAGTTTATACGTCCTTTCTTCACTAAATACATTTACTAACACCTGAGCACTTTTCTAATACGACAGTATTAGAACTTTCCCGCTTGTTTTAAATTATTTCTTCCTCATCCACCGACAGCACCTCATTGGCAGTAGATCAGAACATTGCGAGCTCACGCCTCGCGTCATCGCGCCTTCAATTTTGTAGATGCAACACGGACATCCATCAAGCACGAATAGTTGTATCTCTGCGCCGTCATCAACGCGTTCTTTCTCCTGCGGTATTTCCACGTTGTGTTTGTTTCCGTTTCTCTCATTTGTAGTGGTGCTTCAAATTCTTATCACTGTCGCTAATCACTGTGAATTATTTAGTTGGGAGTCGAGTCCTCATTAATTTGATTAATTGGATTAATTAGACCCGACTTGGGACTTAGCGTGCCAAAAAAAGTCTTGGGCATCTGAGGTTTATTAGAAACGGATAAAAATTGAGTCATTTGATGACTTGTAAATGTGATTTTTAGCTGGCGAGTATAATATGATTAAATAGATCATTTTTGTCAGTGGAGAACCAGCGTAATCACAGTGTTGTAATAATCGTGTATCTCCAACTTTATTTATAAAAAATGCGTATAATAGCAAACAAATTTTGCTTTTTTGGTTCCACTTGTCATTGTAAAGGAAATTTAATTAATTTCAAAGGACTCAATTTCATATAAGTAGTACCTCATCATTCCTTTCAGCGAATAATGTGTTACCTCGTGCTTTTTTTCACTCGGGGGCGTTCATTAATTACGTAACGCGCTTTTTACGCATTTTGACCCCCCGCCCCCTCTTGTAACGCTCCGTAGCTTAACGCCGGACTCCCCCTTAAGATTCCAAAAAATGAAGGATAAATTTTTAATATATAGCTGAATAAAATCTGAAGTATATTTAATGAGTGTGCCAAATAACTTCGAAGGAATGAGGGTGAAACATTTTGGGATTTTGTAATAAAGAGGGTTACGTAACGCTGACACTGACCTCTCCTCCTCATTTGTAACGCTGTGTAACGTAAATTCATACCCCCTCGCTCGAGAGTGTTACGTAATTTATGAACGCTCCCTTTTGAGACATTAAATTTATAAAGTCTTCCTCGATTCCACTTTAAAGGAGAAAATTGCGGGTATCCTATCACTTCCACGATCAAGCAGTTGATGCTACCCGACCTAAGGGGTTAAAAACTGGAGCAGACAACCTGTTCGGTAAAGAGAAAAACAACGTCTGACTAAAGATCGCGTGTCTAGGAAACATTCTCGACGTTTTTCTTGGTGCATTATTCAACGGAACATACACTTTGACACTCACTCTTTCCATTGAAAAATTAATCTCGGACAATCCTAGAGCACTCTCGTGACCTGGATCCCTGCAAAAGTCTTGCATTGTATAAAGAAACAAAGAAAAGTTGTGAGAGGCCAAAGATTAAGAAGCAAAATGAGCATATTTTAGATAACATATTCTTTCTTTGCGTTCTCCATGAAGATCAATAATAAGCACTGTATAACTGTTATATAATTTTTGTATAAAACAATTTATAACTGATGTATAAACCAGAACTGCATTTGTTCATTTTCTAGTATGTGTCCGCATTATTTTATTCTGGAAATCCATTTTTCTAAATTTTCCGGGACAATTATTTTATGACAGAAACCAGAAACAATTAAATATCATTCATGTAACAACTATATCCCTCATACAATGAAAAATTTAAAAATGGGCACTTTTAACAAAATTCCACTATTTTCGTCATACATTTGTTAGGTAAAACGGTATTAATATATTTTCCATCATTTTCCATCATTCCATCATTTTTCTACATTTCCTTTAAAAAATAAAAATTAATCTCAACTACTAGGAACATGATCGGTAAATCAATATTTATATAATCTTTATGTTTGTTTACATTTTCTTTAAAAGAAAACAAGCGGAAAAGCGGTTCAGAAAAAGTCATCACCGGTGGCAATAAGTTTGGATGAAAAGAATTACTCAATGCCTGGACTTTCAGACATAATAATTAAATAACTTATTTTAACTTCCCAGCAAACACAATTTTGGAAATGTTATCTATTTAATCCGCTAATTTATATTTAAAAACGCTAATGGGGGTATTATTAGCTAGTAAAAAGAAAATTCTAAGAATCTCGTCGGTCATGTTTTATTGAGTTGGTGAGCCGTTCAATCGCTTGAGCTCTCTACTATAGAAGAACTCTAGTTTCGAAACAAAAGGAAGAAGCGCCTGTCTATCGGCTGAGTGCTTAAAAATGTTCTCTGTTACTAAGAACATGATGGGGAAACTTTGAACGCTCATATACGAAACATGGAGGTTTGAAAAATTGTTCCATCACATCTTTTATATAATTTTCTCCAAAAGGCGCACCCGTTAATATTTATAAAAAGACGAAATAAACATAAAAATTTACAATTTTAGTCAAAGGTCTCACGGCCGACCTCCCCTAATGCCTCGTCTCACTGTGCGTCGGTCGAGCCTTCCAGCCCTCTTGAGAGCAAGGGCTCGTCATCCGTAATGGATGTTACAGTTGGAATTCATTGCGAGAAGCGGTCAATAATTAATTAATTGATGTTCGAGTGTCACGCGAGGGGATGTTGTCTTCAATTCAAGCGCCGGCCGCTCGGCGCGCGGTTTTGCGGTCGCACCGTACTCATTGGGTCTTCCTCTCTCTGCCGTGCTAAGTTAAAACATCGTATAAGCATTTGAATGTTGCCGAGTTTCACTTTTGAAAATAGTTATTTTCGAAGAACGATATGAATATTTTCCCCAGAAATTTTCAGAATTTTTAGATAAAATTACGAACAAAATCCTGTAAAAAATCGAAGGAGATACATTCACAAATTTCTTTGGAAATTCGTGAATGCGTCACCTTCCAGGCAAAGTATCACAAGCGCCATGCGACGTTTAAAAATTTCCGCCGCCATTTTGTTTTTTTACAGAGAAATTGTTCAACGAAGCTGTCCGAAAATTTCACTGAATTTTCTTTGTGCTGCCGATAAAATTTAGTGAAATTTCCGAACAGATCCGACCAACAATTTCTCAGTGAAGAAATAAAATGGCGGCGGAAATTTTTAAACGTCGCATGGCGCTTGTGATACTTTGCCCGGAAGGTGACGAATTGTCGAAGTAAATTTGGCAATGTTTGATGGCTCATGCGGTGTTTTCACTTAGCGCGGCAGTCCTTTCCCCAAGAGAAGAGCTCCCGCTCCGTTCTAAGTTGGCTGGGGCATCTACGCGCTCCAGAGGTGAATACCGCATTACCTTGAAATCATTTGTCGTTCACAATTAGTGCGTTTATAACTATGTGAAAATCATGTACCGGAGTGGGCTAAAGCAAGGGGGTTTCAATTTGACCCAAATCTAAACTTTTCGACTCACAGTTAGACGCGTATCTAAAATTTATGGACGATGAAGAATTTGTAGGTATCCAAAATTTATGCGTTTCGTGTATTGTTGGAAAGTAGTGAGTGTTGAGTACTAGTGTTGAGCTCACGGTTATCCTTGGTCTCATGAAAAAATGAAACATCAGAGGAGTTATGAAAAAATTATCTAATCTGCTAAAATACATATGTTCAATGGGGAAATGTCGCCTGATGACGTGGTTTCCATTTTGAATTTCCTCTCTTTTCAATCCGGTTGTCTCCGATTTCCAATATTAGAAAATCATCATAAAAAAGTACTGCGAACTCAGCGAATTGAGTACTCTAAGCTATCATAGTAAATTTCTTTCACGCAAATTCTCCATTACTACGGCATCATGGTCAAAAAAGTAATTGAAAAAGGGTCTGCTGGGAAGAGATACGTGTTGCAAACCATAATGAAAAAATATCATAGCAAATTTCATAAGAGGAACGATAGTGCCAATTAGAGAGCGCGTGAAATTGCTCGATAAACTCAAAACTTCGAGAAAAAGTTTTTTTCTTTAATATTTACAGAATTTTCAGATCAAATTACGAGCAAAATCCTCCGAAAAATTGGAGGAGATATATACTCACAAATTTCCCTGAAAATTCGTGATTTTTTGAAGGACACTTGGCAATGTTCGACGGCTCATAGGGCGTTTTTACTTGGCAGTACGGTCTTCTATGGGGCCACGGAGCAGAGAAATGCAACGAACCGTCTTCTTGAATATATTCCTGGCTCAGGGCGTTTGATATGGGGGAGATTCGAGGAAATCGTAATTTTATTCAAAGGACGAAGCAGGTAGGAAAACTGTCCTCTCTCTTTGGGACCCGATCAATTTGGCGCTGACGGGTGGGTCTGTTGTATTTACCGAGCCCGAGTTCAAATCGAGTGCTGGATTTGGACGGAAAGGAAGAAGAGTCATTAGAATAATGGATTGTGCCTCCGCTGGTTTGGGACCCGTGCCCGCGAGTCGGGGGATCCATAATGAATAGCTACTATCCATTAGACACTTTAATCTTCCAAATTCTGTCTCCTCCTGGCCCCGCCCCTCTTCCCCGAGGCCCCTGAGCCCCCCTATTGCTCCCTCCGGGGCGTGCCCTCTTGCATTTTCCGCTTAAAGCTAGTTCATCCGTCAAGAATTTTGATTATAAGAATCTCATTGAAGGATAACACTGGAAAAAAAAAAACACATTGGATCTAGAGTCCAGACTCTTAAAAACATCGACAAGAAAAAATACTCTCGATTCAATCGGATTTTTGCTTGAATCAAGAACCAAGCCTCTTAATTTCAGCGGATTTCCTTTTGATTTAAGCTTAAATCTGATTGAATCAAGAGTCCTTTTTCTTGTCAATGTTTTCAAGAGTCTGGACTCTACTGGGTGATCCAAAAGTCCCTTCCACCCCCTCTAACTTTTTACCTAATTGAGGTAAAGGTTTGAAACTTGGGGGATATTCCTAAGTCAAAGGGAGCTACTTTTTAGCCCCCCTAAAATGTTCAGGGGGGCCCCCCTTGGGGGGGGGGGCAACGGCCCCCAACTTTTAATTTTCAAATGGGAAGACCCCCTTAGTGATAGCTCGTTCGAAAGAGCATAAAAAAAGAAAACTTTTCGCGCAAACCCGAAGTCAATATCTCAAACCGTTTCAAAAGCGGCCGGTTAAAGTTCAAAATGGCCGAAAATTCACACCGGTTAATTGTCGATGGATTTGCGCGAAAATCGGTATGTAGGGGTATTTTGACACGAGAAAAACGAATTTGACGTTAGATTTTCAAAAATACCGAAATTTCCAAAATGGCCGCCGGTTAAAGTTCAAAATGACAAAAAATTAATTTTTTTAGAAATCTAAGTTCAAATTTGTTTATCTTATGCCAAAATACTCTCAAATTCCAAGTTTAAGGCAAATCCATCAGCAAAAAACCGAGGTGACAATTTTCGGCCATTTTAAACTTTAACCGGCGGCCATTTTGGAAATTTCGGTTTTTTTGAAAATCTAACGTCAAATTCGTTTTTCTCGTGTCAAAATACCCCTACATACCGATTTTCGCGCAAATCCACCGACAAATAACCGGTGTGAATTTTCGGCCATTTTGAACTTTAACCGGCCGCCATTTTGAAACGGTTTGAGTTATTGACTTCGAGTTTGCGCGAAAAGTTTTCTTTTTTTATGCTCTTTCGAACGAGCTATCACAAAGGGGGTCTTCCCATTTGAAAATTAAAAGTTGGGGGCCGTTCCCCCCCCAAGGGGGGCCCCCCTGAACATTTTAGGGGGGCTAAAAAGTAGCTTCCTTTGACCTAGGAATATCCCCCAAGTTTCAAACCTTTACCTCAATTAGGTAAAAAGTTAGAGGGGGTGGAAGGGACTTTTGGATCACCCTGTAGAGTCCAGACTCTTGAAAACATTGACAAGAAAAAGGACTCTTGATTCAATCAGATTTAAGCTTAAATCAAAAGGAAATCCGCTGAAATTAAGAGGCTTGGTTCTTGATTCAAGCAAAAATCCGATTGAATCGAGAGTATTTTTTCTTGTCGATGTTTTTAAGAGTCTGGACTCTAGATCCAATGTTTGAGTTATTGACTTCGGGTTTGCGCGAAAAGTTTTCTTTTTTTATGCTCTTTCGAACGAGCTATCACAAAGGGGGTCTTCCCATTTGAAAATTAAAAGTTGGGGGCCGTTGCCCCCCCGAGGGGGGCCCCCCTGAAAATTTTAGGGGGGCCAAAAAGTAGCTCCCTTTGACCTAGGAATATCCCCCAAGTTTCAAATCTTTACCTCAATTAGGTAAAAAGTTAGAGGGGGTGGAAGGGACTTTTGGATCACCCTGTAGATCCAATGTGTTTTTTTTTTCCAGTGAACGATTTTCCAGGGAAAAAATCGATGAAAATTTCCGTTGTAAGCCTTTCAGGGTTGCCACGGCCAGCGAATACCGGCAATACCGGGAAATGTCAAAAAGTCAGGGAAAATGATGAAAGTGTAAGGGAAAAATTACCAAGTCGCCTTTAATAGCTTTTTGGAGTGAGTTTGACGTTTCGCACGACAAATCTTCCTGAAAGCTATATAAAATCATGTCTTTTTAACCATTTGCATATCTTCAATTGTCAGGAAATTTAACCAAAATGTGGCTGGGAAATCAGGGAAATGTCAGGAGATTTAATTTTCTAAATTCTGTGGCAACTCTGTTGATTATCTGGGTCAAAATGACAGTCATTCGGTCGGTTTAGTGTGTGAAAACAATGTGATGATGGCCATCTCAACTAATTTGCCTTGATCGATGACTATGATCGAGCTTATTATAAGGTGAGAGATTTAGAAGAAGAAAAAAATACTCACGTCCACACAAATTCACCGTAAGGTTTTGCCTGCCTCAAACCAATCCAGACGTTATTCGATACATCCAGTTCTTTTAAAAAGGCTCGCACCGCATCAAATTGAATGTTTGAATCAACTGTAACAGAATTAAATAGACATTATTTAGCATCATTAAAGCCGATTGCTAATTCACAAGTTTTAGTTTGTGACTCCGTGCCCATTCTTAATTCAAAACGATCATTTCTGACTTCACATGCGTTAGAGGTTTTTGCCATGAACGAATAAGCATATGTCGCAGGCAATTAGCGATTGCCGTCAATTTGCAAGCCAGCGGTGAATAAATCTAGAACAGCATTAAATTCAAAAATAAAAGATTAGAGTGCTGTTATGTTGCCTTTAATGTGTACAGACACTTTTTCCTCCGTAACAACATGGCAGAAATAGGCACATTCGGAATAGCGTGTTGTGAACTCCGTGACATTAGTTGGGTTGAGATCGGACAGGCAACTAAACTAACTTCATGACAAAGCGTAGATCATCATAAAAAATGAAGGCGCTCTAAGCCGAAATCATGCTTTTGGAGACCATGACCCTTTAAAATTGCACTATGCCGATGTGCATTATCGCCATTTATCGAAACAACATGCTAACCGCTTGCAAATCGCCAGCGATTACTAATTGCATGCGGGTTATAGGACATTTCAACAACAATTTTTTGTCAGTGCGTCTGTTTTTTCTAGTAGTTTATGTCCGCGCGTTTGTCCGGCAGAGGAGTTTTGGTCCACCAACTAATTGAGAACCAAAGTTAATTGGTCCACTGGTAAATATTCACATCACTTACATCAAGCAAAAGCCCGCTTTTATTCAGCTATTCCATTCTTGTTTCAAAATAAAATCTTCTTAATGGCATACTCAAGAATGTTTCTGCCTAAATTGAGTCACTTTTTTCGCTAATGAAATTCAAAAATTATGCTAAATGTTATTAAATACGGATACTAGAATTTGGTGAGTTTTTGAACTCTATTCTTGTACCGTAATATCTTAATTTATTTTGCAAAAATCATAAAGGATGCTTGTCATTCTTTATACGTTGGAGCGCCTTCAATTTCGTATGATACTGTGCAACACGTCTGTTGTGAAATAGTTGCTTGAGGCGCCGTGGTACGCTGCGGCACGGCGGGCTGGCGGCCAACGCCTTCAAACCTAAGTGGATACTTCAAACATTGCGCAGTGCGTGAAGTATCCCCTTAGGTTTGTAGGGGCCTGTGCGCGTTACGCGCAGGCAGCACGTCGCCTCTGTTTGGTTCTAATATTTAAACTCGCGGAGTCAGCATTTTTCAGTTCATGATTTTGAAATATTTGCACACCGTGCATGGATTATTCTCATTTAATTTGATGGAAAAAACATGTAATAAAGGAAAACATGATGTGTTTTTATAATTATTAAGGTGGTTCCGTGTCAAAGAGGGTTATACAAAATCGGCGATTTTGCCCCCCTCTTGGATTTTGCCCGGAGTTGGATATGATGTTCCCTATCACATGACACATCTTTTTCCGGCGTTGGCAAGTTCACCAGAAACTTTTCCCGCGCGCTACAGCGTTGCCAAGTTGAAAACAGGCAAATTCGGTAAGTGGCATAAAAATTGAGCTATGAAGTTGCGGTTTTAACGAAAATTCTCTAAAAATTGCGCACTTTTAGGAAATGACCATGTCATTACACTCTGTGTAATTCAAATTTTCCCAAGAAATGTTCATTCAGTCGGGAAACAAGAAACTAAGGACAAAAACCGCAAAAAGCGCCGATTTTGGTGTCTTTTTTTCAGTTTGCTGCTTGTCGCACGTTTAATTTCGCCGTGAGCAGAAAGAATTGGACTCAGCTTGTAGAAAGTTCAACGAGTTTTAAGTGTGGAAATAACCCATTTTGTCGTCCGATCAACTCCTGGCAAGTCACTTGCTATAATCCGCCCAAAAGGCCGATTTTAAGCTATTTTTGCCAAATTTGGCAACTTCTTTGTGACAATTTTGTTATGCAATGGTCAAATTCGGATTCAACGCCAAAAATTACATAGAAAACCATGGAATTAATGCTACCCTGTGTTTTTGGAGGCTAAAATTTCTATCCGCCCGGACTCAAAAAGCGTCGTCGCTCCATGAAGCTGTTTACAAAAATGATGATATCTCGCGAACCAAAAGTTTTCCAGAGTGTTATAATATATTGATGGATGCGGAATTGAACGAACTATCGATTAAACAGTTTTTTACTCAATTTTGAAGGTAGCTTTTTTGGGTATTTACGGATTTGTTAAATTTGTCGAATTAAAAAATCGACAAATTGGCAACAATGCATGTTAAAATTAGTGCTACATTAAAAACATGATCATTTCCTAAAAGTGCGCAATTTTTAGAGAATTTTCGTTAAAACCGCAACTTCATAGCTCAATTTTTATGCCACTTACCGAATTTGCCTGTTTTCAACTTGGCAACGCTGTAGCGCGCGGGAAAAGTTTCTGGTGAACTTGCCAACGCCGGAAAAAGATGTGTCATGTGATAGGGAACATCATATCCAACTCCGGGCAAAATCCAAGAGGGGGGCAAAATCGCCGATTTTGTATAACCCTCTTTGACACGGAACCACCTTAATAATTATAAAAACACATCATGTTTTCCTTTATTACATGTTTTTTCCATCAAATTAAATGAGAATAATCCATGCACGGTGTGCAAATATTTCAAAATCATGAACTGAAAAATGCTGACTCCGCGAGTTTAAATATTAGAACCAAACAGAGGCGACGTGCTGCCTGCGCGTAACGCGCACAGGCCCCTACAAACCTAAGGGGATACTTCACGCACTGCGCAATGTTTGAAGTATCCACTTAGGTTTGAAGGCGTTGGCCGCCAGCCCGCCGTGCCGCAGCGTACCACGGCGCCTCAAGCAACTATTTCATAACATACGCACGTGTTCACCAAAAGCACTTAAATATTTTCTTTTATATTTTGTGCTGTTACTGTGCTGCAACATGGTGTATGCGTAAACAATATACGAAATCAGTCTTGCATCAAAAGTATTTCGACACGCATGCTTTTAGTTTGATGCTGTGTGATTATAACGATCTCATTAAAAATACATAGAAAATCTCAGCTTGAATAATTTCGATTCAGATTAGCACTTTGTTAAGGAAGAAATGAAGTCTTTTCCGAAAATTTGAATTCTCAGCGGAACAGTGGACATAGACAAAGATTTAGAATAGAAGTAAAGAAATTAAGGAGAGACGCTTCGAACATTCGTTTTAAAAGTTTTGCAATTAAATTAGAGAAGTCTTGACATTGTGAATGGAACTAATGCCTGACTCAGCTCTATTATATTCGCGCCAAAGAAGATATTTTCCCTTGTTGCCTTCAATTTGACTGTCATTGTTGCCTCACGGTGCAGAATTTACGCAAGGAGATAATTGAGCGTCATCATACACAGACTGGAGTCGTTATTAAAAGGAGCTTTCAATTACAATCTATAGTCTTTTGCGAAGGGTTCGTATTGATACGTGTGTTCTTTATCTCAAAATTCCCTTTGTAGTTGTATCCCTTCTGCGCAGTAGCGTCAGTGGCGAGGCATGAATGATCGATTTTCGATATTTCCCTATTTGAAGCTGTGGTAAAGAATCGATTGTTTCGGTGCGAACACCTTAACACCCATTATCGATCCTTTAACATAGTTTTAAATGACAGATCAATCGACGTATCGTAAAGCACGCCACTGAGTGGTGTTGTAGCATGCCAGAACGGAGGACTTAGGTAGGTGTGGTCACAAATATAGTGCCTTTGGACCTTACAGCGATCGACGAGTCTTGAGACTGCGTAAGCCTTGGTCACGCTATCGATATATTTGTCGATATACGGTCACGCTGTCAGTGTAAATCCGAGGAGAATAAAACGACCCGCCTAAAAAGATTTAGGCATCGCTCCAGAGATAGTGACGACCGCAAGTATTGACAGGAGTAGACTCATCTGAGGACACTTCATTTTTACGTTAACTGCGTGACTTTGAGATACTGACTAAAATGTAGACAGTTAGACCAAAAGCAATGGGAGTGAATACTTCGATCCCACGAATTTCATTTAAGGTATGCGGCTGTCCCTAAAAATATCAAGGGGAGCAGAGGAAACTGCGCCAGCTTGAAAAGAAGCAAGAGTGAAGTTCACCGAGCCCGACTTGAAGTCAACCACTTTTCACCAGTATTGAAAAACAAGCTCTTGGATATTGGATTAGAATTAAACCTTTGACGACTGGCATTGAAGGAATTGTACTTTTTGTAGGGGAATAAATTATAGAGTCGGGTAATTTATATTCTCCGCAAGATGTTAAAAGCACATCAATGATTATGTAAAATGCGAGAGCTAAACTGAATAAATTCTCTTTAATTTTACGTATCGCAGTGCTTTTGTGTCGATCAAATGTAATTATGGTACAATTTAACTTATTTCAAATCCAAATCAAGGTTTCTTTTATACCAGGATTGACGAAAAGTTTTAAGATGAGGAGTATTTATGATTTGGAGGGTAATTTCTTAAAAAAAAAAAAAAAAAAAAAAAAAAAAAAAACGCATTTTGTGTAAATAAAAATTATGACAGCATCAACCTATGAGGAGCCATTACCTCCCGAGCCCTTCCTCCCCTCCCTTTGGGCTTGTTAAGGCTAATCAAGAATCATAAGCCAGTTTGGAAACGAGCAACATGATCACATATGATCATTTTTTTTTTTAATTGATGGTAAATTTTTATTTTTATTGATAGTAAATTTTTACTTTCTCGCTCCCCTTGAGAAGCGTACGGTCCGTCCGTGTCCTACATCAACGAAGTTAGTAAATCCAAATAAGAAACAAAGCCCCTCGATATTATTTATCTAGCCTTATCGTAGTCTATACGGCTACTGATTGCGTTAAGAGAAAAACTCCCACTAAAAGTTGGACATCTTCTGTGCAACGTGCAGGATGTGCTTCTTAATTAACGTTTTGAATATGCAGACATTTTGACAGAATTAAAGGCGAATTATTGCAACGCTGCACTATTATAACTAATTCGCCAACGCGTCGTAAGTGAACCTAGTCGAGAGAGTTCTCCGCCATGCGAAGCTTTCCA